AAACGGAAAAAATGATAGTCATGCCGGCCCAGCATCCTCAACGTTGAAAAATGCCCCGGTCCGAAGTGGTTAAGGAGACCAGTGGGAAAAAAACATATATTTTAAGGTGCCTTCTATTCAATACTGAACATTGCTCAAGAACACTGTGTCTTATTTTTACAAAATCAGCGTCAAATGACTACAAAATGTCACTTTAAAAATGTGAGAAGGCTCAATGTGGGATTAAATGCACAGTCACAATGTTAGAACAAAAGTTGAGGGGCGGCGTGGATTCTGCTTCTTCCCCCCCAAAAAAATTCTTTTGGAATTTAGGCATGTGAACTTCAGAGCCAAAGGCAAAACTGAGGAATATTTGGCCTCATTTTAAGAAAGAACTTAACTCAATAATACATGTAAGTGCATTTGTGAGAATTATCTTGTTATATGGTCTGCAAGTGATAACCACTTAAATGAATGATTCTATTTTTTCCCAAGCGTATGAGGAGAGCGGCATGCTAGAAGCTGAAGACAGTGTAAGTCCAAGTACATATTGTTGAACTTTGAAATCAACAAATCAACCACAGAGAAACAAATGAGGTCAACCATCTAAGGAAACACGATCAGGGCTCCTGCAGCCTGGAAAAGTCTTGGAAATTCGTTTTGTTTTCCAGACCTGAAAAAGTCATGGAATGTGATTTCTAATAAGTGCTTGAAATGCGAAATTTTATGTGCAACTTTAAAAGTCCAAATAGTCCAAGAAATTGCAATATGCGGTCAAGGATTTTCATAATTTGGTCATGGAAATGTCATGGAATTTTATTGTCCTTGAGGAGCAGGAACCCCGAACAATGACCCATATAACTGGGGGGGGTCACCTCCCAAACACTGTACAGGCACTCTACCAAGTGAGCCATCTGGCCTGTCATGGTAGTTTTCATGTTCCTTTGTTCTAAAGCCAACATTAATTAAGATGCCAGTACCTGTCCATTAACCACTATGGCTAATTTGATGATTGATAATATATACATGTATGTAAATTAAAAAACAATTCAGCATGGGTGGTTCCAGCTTTCGATCATGTTCCCGTTCAATATGACCATGGCTGTGATCTTTGATGTTTTTAGATTTCATTAGGTCTGACAAGTGTAATTCAGTAATTCAAGTTTATCGGCAACCAAGTTAAGGTTGAATTTGGAATACAATCTTTAACAATTCAAAATGAATTTTAAGGAGAAAAAACAATGGGAAAAATTAAGATCCCACTAAAACCATATGTACATGTATATGCGTACATTTACTGAGCAACACAGAATATAAAAACCAGTCAGTGGCCCCCATTACCATTACATATAGTTCAGTTTGTGCTGCAGTCATGTTTCTTAAGCTTAAGTCAGCCAAACATTCATGTTAATAAAGAACATTGATGAATATGTTTCATTTGATAATGTCATCCTTCTGTTTCCATTGAAAATTGAGAATGTACTCTCAGATAAAATTTTGATACTGTTTTTGCAGTGTTTCCAGCAGCAGGCTGCTGTGTTATTCGCTGACTGCTATCCGTTGATACACAGATTTTTCCCAGTGTAATAGCGACCTTTTCCAATGATACGCTCTCCCAAGACATAAACCCTGACCCTGCCAAATGTAGCAGAAAGCAGCAGATGCATTGGTCTCACTGGCAGCCATCTTACCATGACGAATACACAGGTAATACAAAGGCTTACTTGACATTTTGAACCAAATCGTTCCTGGCATCAATAGTTACTGTACAATGGTAAGCAAGTCGATGATCACCTTTGTATTCTGCATGGTAAGATGGCTGCCGGTGGCTTCAGTTGATGCAAGAGCATTGTGAGCTCACATTTTTAAATATGACTTCTGCGGGGCAGTCACAGTGGGACATTATCTATAAAACTGCCCATTGTGAGACCAAGGGAGCTAGTCTTATTGAAACTGGCTATTGAATTGAGTTGAATGCTATTTGAAGTTGGAAGATGCGGTGGGTACCAAGTTGGGGTTCTAGGACTTTTGGTGTTGGAATGGTTGACTGGTTGCAAACTATAAACATGCATGCCAGATATTGTATATTGCTGCATCTAGCTGAGTTAACTTCGAGTGTTAGAGTGAATCCTGTTAAAAATGCAGACTATTTGTCCGATAGCAAACAGTGCATGAACAACTGGGTGTACTCCGGTGACCTAGATAGGTGGTAATTTCCTGCTGTGAAATTGACCTTGAACCTTCAGCCTGACCCCTGCCATTCTTTGCTCCAATGCAGGCCATCTTGGATACCACCAAGCTACAGAAGGAGGAAGGGGCATCCGGTGGTGAGAGTGGCATCTTGCAGACACGAACCTATGACCTGAACATCACCTACGACAAATACTACCAGACGCCTCGGCTGTGGTTATATGGGTACGATGAGGTGGGCATTGTTCAGTCGGTTAGCCCAGCGACCAAGGTGGACGTTGCCAGCATTACAATCCAGCAATCACAAGTCCTCACATACAGTCCCAATTTCAAATCGTTTTGGTTAACTTTTAGACAACCCAACATTTAACAGAGGTATTTCTCGGATGTCGTTCATCCCCAGTTACTTCAAAACTTGCAAACTGACTCTCAGCTGACTTTTGTAACAACCCTGTAAAATTTGTGAGCTTATAAAGACTTCATTTTAAAATGGCACCAGCATGAAAACATGATACGAAATACTGTTGTCTTTAGCTTTAACTGTTGTGAATTTATGGAGGATAACACACACCACAGCCTATGTTGACATAATTTTATCTATTAAACATTTTTAAATGGTAATTTTATGATTTGAGTACAAATTCATTGTATCCATTTCTTTCCTGAATACAGTGTTCCCTTACCAGCTCAGTATGGTATATTTTAGTGATCTTCAAATGATATCTCTGGACAAACCGGCAAAGCTCTCTTGTAAACCATAGTGCACCTCAAGTAAACTTTCCTGACGTAGGATAACACCCGACAAGAGTTACCTCTTAAACATTGTACCAGAGCAACTATAAGGTTGTCACTGGTATATGCATGGCTCTGGTCAGTTTTACTGACCCGATTATTGGTGTTTCTATGGACAGAATCGGAAGCCGTTGACCGTCGAGCAGATGTACGAGGACATCAGTCAGGACCACGTGAAGAAGACGGTGACAGTGGAATCCCATCCTCATCTCCCGCAGACGATGTGCTCGGTCCATCCGTGCAGGTAATCAAATGTCAGTTGCTTTCAAGAGCTTTGTCTGAAGAAGGGGTGCATTGTGGTAGATTTTTTTGTTAGATGAGGAGTCCACTGTCCATTGGAGTCATTCGAATGTCTCTGTGTTTTGGACTTCCAACAGGCATGCCGATGTCATGAAGAAAATCATCCACACAGTTGCTGACGGTGGAGGGGAGCTGGGTGTCCACTTGTATCCTTTTGAAGATTGACACTTTATGCTGCCCTTGCTCAACTAATTTGTTTCTTAACCAACTTGCTCTGGAGGACCTGTAAATAAGATCAGGCAGTCTGCGTACACAGGGACTGCCGGCAGGTTCAACTGCCATACATCCCCAGACTAACTGCGGGTGGATGTGCATACATGCAAGTACCTTCACACAGAGGCTAAGAAGTCTGGATGCAGGACGTGTTGACTTGAATTTGACAACTGAACACGGACTTGCGGCCCTATTTTGATAAAATGATGCATCTTACTTTAAGGACATTTTAAAAAAGTGTGACTGAGGATTGGACCTTTTGCCGTTGGGGTTTTTAGGTTTTGGAGTCTGTGAAGGTGTGTTTAATGTCTGGACAACCACAAATTTGATTTTTTGCATCAATCTTCATCTTTTACAGATAATCATAAAAATACAATGTGTGTCATTTTGTGAAGATTTGGAAACAGATGTACATGTATGTCAGACTTGCATTATTTTTCTGAAAAAGCCTCAACAGTAAATATTTTTCCCATTGAGATACATACATGTATCATATCTTGGAAGTGCTTCATTTCTTGGCTGGTATAACTTCAGAATCAGAAATAGCAGCCTCACATTAGCGGGATGTCATTCTTACTCAAATTCACCAAAAAACTTGAGTTACTTCATTTTACCAAATAGGCCCACTTACTGTGGTAGCCAATATCACTGTGGGGCATCATTCCAGAGAGTTACCACATGTGAGTTTGGGTTAAGAAATGGCCTAGCAATATTGTGCAAATGACTCTAACAAGGCAGTCGCTGTATCTTGCCTTTGGGAAGTCAAAATTTTCGGCCAAAATGGTACCCTCTGCAAGCAGTTTGTATATGTAGCTGTTAACATAAACATTACAATATTTTATATAGTACCTGCGTACATCCCAGTTACCTCATTGGTGGATCCTTGTTCACGTGTCACTGAATTATTTGTTCTATTCAATGGCACCTGTTGAATAGAACTTCATTTGACTGGTTTCCCCCCATTTCTTATGCATGGATTTCGTTCCCAGTAAGAAAGGAAAACAATATAAGCACAGGAGCCGATCTAACATTGCACGATGCACTACCCACGGGTTGCTCTTCGGACATGGATCTGTTTAGCAAAAAGGCAGAGGTAAATACTTGAAGACCATTTGGTCTCGTAAAAGAGGAGGATTTATGCAGGTATTGCATAAACAAATAACGAATGTTTCAGATTCCTCCATTGGTGAGAAACATCTCCTAAAATATTTCATATTGCATGGATCCCCATCTGAATCTTACCCATATTCCTCAACGATTGCAGTTAGACACCGACTACAGTTTGTGTGACAATCCACAATGAGTCCTTAACTTACACTCCCAGATACCTGCTGATCTTTCTGAAGTTTGTCCAAGCGGTCATTCCCACCATCGAGTATGACTACACTCGCCAGTTCACCATGTGATCTGCTCCGACGGTGCCAACGTAGCAGCAAAATTATTGAAAACTGGGCCCATCTGTATGGTAGGAAGTCAAACAAAACAGAATAGAACCCAGGAATGCCATTTGTCACATAATGTATACTCATAACAAACTCTAAATGGGTCGTAGCTGGTGCGCACACTTGTATAGTCCAAAGCATGTACTCACAATTGGGCATATTCTGAATGGGCATAAAATGTGGCAAAAACTTCATTATATGTATGTCCCTGTGTAATGTTAGTTGGCCTACATGTGTTGTGATAAAGTTGCCTAGAGAAACAAGCTTGTATAGCAGTGTCAAGTGGCCGTCAACCAAAACGTCAATGCATAAATGTACATGCAACTCATGAAATGTGACTGGATCCAGTTAAATGAATCTGAAGGAAATCTACTCTTGGTCATTAAAAAGAGCAAACGCAGCTCTCCCTTTTGACATACCACACTAAAGCTGGGCCATCCATTTGGCACTGCGCCAATGGTCTCCGCAAAATTCAGGCTGAGGCGTAAAGGTGGCACGAGAAAGTTGAGGGCAAAGGAAAATATCACAGTGTGTCATAAAATGCACTCAGTGGATTTGTTTTCAATGCTTTGCCTGCCCTTTCTGAACTTGTGAAATTGGGGAAGCTTTGAACCAGCTGGTGCTGTATGGCTAGGCATCAACATCACATGCAAAGCTCCAGCACTCCGCAGCGAAACGAAATGGCTACCGGTGCCTAGGGCAGAATAGGAACTACAGACATGACAGAAGTCTGTCAGAGGTACCTATTGACTACAGTAGTCATAATTTGGCCCTGTATCTCACAGTTTGAGAAACCAATGAAGTGCAAAAGTAATGATCTGGATAAAAACAGTGAATATTCCTGTTAATTTCAATTAGGCAATATCAGATAAATGGCCTGCACAGTGCCTAGACCAATCAGAAATGTGAATTGTTGAGCGGTGCAGATCAGATCCAGAGGCTGTTCCGTATTTGGAATCTACTGCACAGTCTTAGTTTCCGAACATAGGCCCCAACTGTTTCCTGTCTTTCAGGCAGTGTGCTCGTATGAATGCAAGTGTCGGTCTGAAGTTGACTTCAGTGGACCTAAAACATAATGAGGTCACACTTTGTTTACGCGTTTGTTTAACCTTCAGGAAAGCACACACGCAAACAAAACCTGCCATCATTATGTTACAGGTCTGTTGATGTGCCACCTTCTAGTCAGTCACGGCCTAGTTATTGTCCTGGTGAAGGATTATGGAGTTGGCTGTCTTAGAGGCATTTGTTCCATAACCTTGACCAGGTAATAAATGCTGGCAGCCATGAACTGGAGTAGTGATTACATGTACTTCCCTGTGAACAGTTTTAAGCAGCACACTAGGTTCACTGACCATTTGTGATAGGTTGACATTACTGTGCACCTAGCTCAAATGCAGTTCGGGCTTCAGACTCATTTCGCGGTCCAGCTACAGTGTATTACAAATGTCCAGTAGTTGTGGCTGGGTTGTACATTGATGCCAGAGTCTACAAAAGGCTTACTTGAGATGTCCGTGTATTTCACAGCGCAAAAGAAAAAAAAATTAGTAATCCAGTGATACAGAATTTCATGCAGTTCAGCATTCGTCACATTGTAAGGTCAGATGCTGGGTCTAGATTGGTCGTTTTGCAGATGTGGAGCCCTACGCTTCTTTCCCACTTCATTGCAGTCAGTGTAATCAGCGACAAAAGTTTCCATTCTTGACAGCCCTTGTGTTGGATAATTTATGTTGACTCGTACATGTACATGATATCGTCAGAAATGAAGGATACTGTGTGTGGCCTTGTCATGTGATAGAGCAATGGTTGCAAAGAGTATATTCATCCATCGTCAGACTCGCAGACGCTGTGGGTCATTCATGTTGTGCACTCCTATTTATGCTGGCTATTCGTTCTGTTGATTTTCATACTTTGAATTATGATGTGCCTATTAAAGCCAGCACCCTATGCTGTGCATCTTTGACCAGCTTTGCAATGCCTCAGCTTAACAACTTTATTTACCTGTGCAGACTAGTGATATGTTGCTGCGCCTGTTTGATTTCTACACCCTGGGCTCATTTGACCTGCTGTTGAACATACACTAACTACAGTTATGCATTTGCACAGGTTGAGACACGAGTTCAGATCTGTGAAGTGTATGACACATATAATCCTGTGCTATTTTGGAAATGTGTGATCGAATGACATGTCAGATCTTGGAAACACCCACTTGTAACAGTTGTTGAATTCTGTGTTGTGGGACGTGGCCATTTTGTTTTTACATACATGTACAAGGGACGCAGTCGCTTTTAAGACAGGTGTTATGCACCTTGAAGAGGCAAAACACTTCACCACATCAAGGCAGTCAACAGCGTTTTTGTTGTATTCGTCTTGTGAGTCGAAAAAAGGAACAGCCGAGTCTTAAGTTACTGTCAGTTTTTCTATCAGACAGGCCGAGCAGCTGTACTGTCATTTACGGGGTACATGTACATACATGTACCTCGTAACTGACATGCCCTAGACATGCGCGCGCGTGTATCCAAGTGCTGCACATCAGGTACATGTATATGATGTACTATTGATGTGCTATTACTTTTGTGTCAGTCATCTCTACAGGCTGATCACTCAGCTAGGACCAATGCAAGAACACCCTGAACTTGAAGTACAATGAAATTAATCACTTTGTTTTCAGAAGGTACATCCGTAGAGAGTACGGGTGGTTTCCTGGGTTTGCATGGATAGCGAGGGATTTTCAACGTCAACAGCTACAACCAAAACAGATCAAACATGGGAATAGGGTGCGAAGATTGATTTCTTATGTTTCATTTCAAATGCACAGATATTCCACTTTTCTTAGAACATGGATTCGTACGTTGTCATTTATCGGGCATTTATTTGCAATAATTTTTCCGTCATGCAGAAGGATTGACGAACATGTACCATCACAGTAAAGTAATTTAAATTACAACTTCTCTATCAGGTGGACGTTTATTTATGATTTGCATTATATTTTAGTTTTAGCTGCATTAGTTTGTCAGTTGAATTAAAGATTAGTTCTGATCACTCTGAAATAGGTTACACTTAACCGATTGGATGTTTAATGTATTATCTGGACAGCACTCCCAAGCAGTTATCGTGTGTTTCAAATGATATGAGTCATATTAACCCTAACTCCTTAGGGTGTGTGCAAAATCCTATCAAAATTGGAGGATTCAGGGCTGTTAAGGGTTATAGAAAAAGACGAAAGGAAAGTTTTGTTGTCCCATCCGCTGAATCCTTCCCCGACTTGTTACCCCGCCACAATTAGCCGCATACAGGCACACGCCTCTCTCGGAAAAGGCATCCGCTTCTCGGGTTCGCGTTCCGCTGTAACGCCGATGTTTCCTCGTCATGGACACCACCGCATTTGTGTTAGCGTTGCAGTACGAAGTACGAATTGACGTGGCCCTGGAAGGCCGAAGCACACCTTGAAGCGGCAGGTTCACAGGTTCATTTTAGGTGTTTTAGTGAAAAAAAATTCTCCTTCATGCCCGGTTTAAGCTAGAAACCGACCAGGGCTGTTGACTCTCTGTCTCACCCTCGGCCTGTAAGGCGTTGCGTGAGCCTTTGATGTTGAACTGTGTTTTTAAGTTGAGAATCCTAATGCAATGGTTTGCGGGGGAGACTTGAGGGTCGGGGGGGGGGACAATAATCGATGGCTGTTTATCGTTGCTGTTCAGTTGTACGTTTTGAAGAAACGCGTTTAAGCAGAGAAGTTACATTATTTGCTAACGTCAAACTAAGATGAAAGAAAAGCGATTTACCATTTTTTATTACAAATTATTTGTACATATTTACGAACGAAGACTTCTTTTAAAGTTCACTTTAATGCTGTTTTCTGTGAAGAAATAACGATGATTATTGTATACAATAAAGATGCTTAATGTGAGAAGCAGTTAACCGAGACAAAGATTTGTAAGATGCGTGGGTCTGTTATTGGTATTGAATGTTTGATTTCTGTGACTGACATCAGTTTATTTTCATTCGAATTATAGCTTCATTGTTCATGGTATTTGATTGAACAAGGCGTTAAGTATTGGCGAAATATGATGTGTCTTGCTAACGGTACAAAAGCGAGACATTTGTTCATGTACATATGTCTCTGACACCACGATGTAGGTAAAAAAAGAGACCAAATTAGTTCTTCACTCTGTTAAGAAAGTTCGTTAGGAATGGAAATAAAGTTGCCGCGCCGCAGATAGAATCACAGTGCTTAAGTCATGAATGACACTGCAAACAAAGGGAAATCTTGTGGCGGAAATTCTAAATCTAATCCTTCAATTATTACCAACTGAAATCGTCGGACGAAAGTGGTTTTGTCTTAGTATGCATTAATGTAGAATTGAAGTTATTCATAACACTGTCGAACTGTACATGACCTGTAATCGAATTAGCAATTTTATTTCAGTGTTAATTCATTTTTGGAAATGCACTACACCAAAAGTCAACAATTGAATTACTTGAACCAATAGTATTTGATGTTCCAAAAATTATCAGAATATAACGGACAGACCAAGAAACTATGTGGATGTATGACAGTCTGATATTTCCCTGTTTTCTCTCAGAAAATGATGAAGAAAATAGAATAGTTTGCGAAAGCGTTCCTCATTGTTAACAAATAAACGTCGAAACGAAAGCATATCAATATGATTAAACGCGTGTAAGCGGGAATGTATAGCGATATGGTTTGGTTTGAGAATGACAGCGCAAAGGCTACGTGGCATAGGCTGCCTGTTGATACCCTCATTTTTCTAGGTCCATAACACCATCCATAATTTAATGACGCTGTAAGAACTCCAATGAAACTGAGTTGGCGATATCTGATAAAAGCGGCCGGTGCCGTAATAAACAAACCGCGACGCTGAAATTAATAGGCCTGAATGAAATGTTACATTTTCATCTGTGGGAATATTCTAACTGCACGCTCGCACAATTCATTTTAGATTACATACAGATATAATGGAAGGTACGCTATTTGTATACATGTCTTATTGAAAGAAAAACTGGAGTGGTCTGATAACTACGAGACACGTACTGCTGACAGAACGAACTAGAGGTCCCTTTTACCACGGGCGTCGCTGGACCATGTTAAAAAAGAAGGGGGCTTTACCATCAGGAAATTTGCCGACGGACCATCATGGAAATGAATGTAATGGTATAGTCTGATTCACAGGCATGACACCTACGCAACCACCCCCCCTTTACATTTAGCCTTATTCCATTGATGCCCAAACCGTGATTTGCCCGAAATCGGGGGGACCCCACCACACCCCCTCTCTAGCGATGCCCATGGTTTTTGACTTGTGTGACGTTGATGTTTCTCAATTGAAAGAAATGACTTTTGATATTTATGTTGTCAAAAGTTTGCGAGGCACACAAATTAAAAACATTATACGTCGGAATTTGAAAATTTGGTATTGTGATATTTTTGGGGATGTGCTCAGTTTTGGGTCGACGCAATGTACACGCGTAACTTGGGGCCTGTTATCAAAAAATTCTGTGTCGGATTATTTATTTCTTTACATGCCACACCAAGTTTTTTTATGGAAACAGGTCGGGACCGCCAAGATAGGGGCGGGCTTCTCCCACTCGGTCTGACGGTGAGATGGCCAAACCCCCGGCTTATTTAGGGTACTATATAATTTCATTTTTTATCTTATCGATATGATCCACATGCTGTTAGTGTTTATTAATGCATGAGGTCAACAAGATGGCATGCTCCCACTTGGGTATACTGAAAGAACTTAAATACAGGGATCTCCGGTGGAAAAAAAATCATTTCAAATTCTCGTAACATGCGACTGGATTGGGGGTGAATTAAACTTTTATAAAATCATGACCTCCGTCACCACTATCGCCCCACGCTTCTTTTTTGGTTTTTTTTTGTTTTTTTTTTGTTTGCTTGCTGTTACGCTCTGCTGCGCAGCTGCGTCAGCTTAGCATGCTCAACGCAGGATGCGCCGTGCACGTGAGCTATGAACGTCTGTTGTCAAGGCCCGGCGGGGTCGACAAACTTTGTGAATAATCGTACACGTACACAACAGAGTCATGGGGGTTGCGGTTATTACATGTATTACGCAGACATCAACATCATTTTCTACCCTGAGCTTCGCATCGTTCACAGCACCGTGTCCTATTTCTAGTCGTAGAACTCGTACGTTTGTAATAAAGGTTTGTTAAGAAGTTGAACCCATGTTTTATTGTGCACTGAGTGTCTCTCCACCGAATCGGATTGAGACCAATGAGCGTTCTCCAACAACCGATGGTCCATGGAGTTATAGCCGCTCGTGTAGTAAACCTAAGGTAGGTGTGTTTAATGGAATTTTTTTCTGTTTTGTTGGGACGTAGGCCTTTGTGTAACATTTGCCTGTGTTTCTGTGGTTTAAGAAAGTTGTTTGCTGAGACTTAATTGCCCTCAGTTCAACTTCACACCGTTTTGAAGTTAAATCATTTTAAATTAAAAAGGTAGGCCTACAGTCGTAAAGCTTGGCCACTGGTGGTAACATTTAAGTTGTTTAGTGCTACCCTTAAGTTGGCCCATCAGTACAGTGCCATTTTGAGGTAAGGCGAGTAATGTTTATAATTTTCATATGCAGAACAAAACATCACAAAAGTCAAACGGTTATGTTATCTTCTATCCAGAAAGAATGTTTGAATAAATTTCACTCACTTCATTAAGACAAAAATTTCTGCCAAGGCATATAAGCACTATATAGGGTCTACGATCTACTGGCAACCTACTTATTTTGACACGTAGTTCGACCAGTTTAATTTTTATTCAACTTTAAATTGAATGCACTGTAAACTAAATTGGTGCTTACTCATGCGTGAAATGAAATTGTTAATGATGGCGCGAAGGGTCCAGGTAGGGATCGAGACTTTACAATAGCTTGGCTATGTGCCAATAAACTAAATAGACCTGAAATTTCCCGGGTTACAAATTCGCAACCATGATTGATTTTCTTTAGATTTTCATCATCGATTCCATTCTTGGGAGGGTCAGATAGGCCTATTTGTCCTATCCGGAAGCGCGCCATGCTCGAGCATACATGTATATTCGCGTGCAGCAAAATGCTTCCCCGTTCCCAAATCGTTCAAGGTTGTTGCTTTGAATCCTTTGAATCGCAATCCTGAAAGTTTGTTGACCTTAATCAGCCACCCTCCGCTCCTGTGAACGTCAGTGTGTTGTTACGAGGGAGCGCAGAGACACCAGACTTACGCATTATGCAGCTGTGACACATTCCTGCCGCGCCGTCCCATTCATTCATAAATTCACCGGCTGTGTACGTAATTATGCTGATGATTGAGGTCACATTCAGTGTGCACGTACAGGCCAACAAACTTTCAGGGCTCGCACGGATCCGCTGGGTAGGAAAAGAGGGTTGAACGAACTTGTGACTTGGCCACCAGCTCAGGG